AGGGCTTGGCTGGAGCTTGGTGAGAGGAACCAGGTGAGCTGAATGAAGGTATAATGAGGAAGTGGAGGAGGGTGAAGGATGGGAGTCATGACAGAACCCCCCCTCAAGGGCGGATACCAGACGCCCACAGGAAACCAGAGCAGGGTGGGAGGAGGGGGACCAGGAAGGAGGGCCAGAGCAGGGCGGGAGGAGGGGGACCAGGAAGGAGGGCCGGAAGGGTCTGGGGGGCCGGCAACGGGGAACCAGGAGCCGAGACAGTGGGAGTCTGGGGGGTCGGCGACGGGGAACCAGGAGCCGAGACAGTGGGAGTCTGGGGGGCCGGCGACGGGGAACCAGGAGCCGGGACCGTGGGAGTCTGGGGGGCCGGCGACGGGGAACCAGGAGCCGGGACCGTGGGAGTGTGGTGACAGAGGACACTGGACCAAGACTAAGACTAAGACTACGAGGGGACACTGGACCACGACTAAGACTACGAGGGGACACTGGACCACGACTAAGACTACGAGGGGACACTGGACCACGACTAAGACTAGGAGGGGACACTGGACCATGACTAAGACTAGGAGGGGACACTGGACCACGACTAAGACTACGAGGGGACACTGACTCTGGGACTTGAGGGGACACAGACTCTGGGACTTGAGGGGACACAGACTGGGGAACTTGAGACTGGGGAACTTGAGACTGGGGAACTTGAGACTGGGGAACTTGAGACTGGGGAACTTGAGAGCAGGAGGGGTCCTCTTCAGAGCAGGGGCAGGAGAGGTCCTCTTCAGAGCAGGGGCAGGAGAGGTCCTCTTCAGAGCAGGGGCAGGAGAGGTACTCTTCAGAGCAGGGGCAGGAGAGGTCCTCTTCAGAGCAGGGGCAGGAGAGGTCCTCTTCAGAGCAGGGGCAGGGGAGGTCCTCTTCAGAGCAGGGGCAGGAGAGGTCCTCTTCAGAGCAGGGGCAGGAGAGGTCCTCTTCAGAGCAGGGGCAGGAGAGGTCCTCTTCAGAGCCTGGAGGTGTCGACCCTTGGACTGGAGGCTCGTGGAAAGGTTTCACCGGAGCTCCTTGGACAGGCTGGGCCGGAGCCCCTTGGACAGGCTGGGCCGGAGCCCCTTGGACAGGCTGGGCCGGGGCCTCTTGGACCTCATCCGTCGAAGCAAGATGCGATATGTCCTCCCGGACCACCGCCAGAGCAGGATGCGATGCGTCCTCTCGGACCACCGCCAGAGCAGGATGCGATGCGTCCTCCCGGACCACCGCCAGGGCAGGATGCGATGCGTCCTCCGAGACCACCGCCAGGGCAGGATGCGATGCGTCCTCCGAGACCACCGCCAGGGCAGGATGCGATGCGTCCTCCGAGACCACCGCCAGGGCAGGGTGCGATGCGTCCTCCGAGACCACCGCCAGGGCAGGGTGCGATGCGTCCTCCGAGACCACCGCCAGGGCAGGGTGCGATGCGTCCTCCGAGACCACCGCCAGAGCAGGGTGCGATGCATCCTCCGAGACCACCGCCAGAGCAGGGTGCGATGCGTCCTCCGAGACCACCGCCAGAGCAGGGTGCGATGCGTCCTCCCGGACCACCGCCAGAGCAGGGTGCGATGCGTCCTCCCGGACCACCGCCAGAGCAGGGTGCGATGCGTCCTCCCGGACCACCGCCAGAGCAGGGTGCGATGCGTCCTCAGAGACCACCGCCAGAGCAGGGTGCGATGCGTCCTCAGAGACCACCGCCAGAGCAGGGTGCGATGCGTCCTCAGAGACCACCGCCAGAGCAGGGTGCGATGCGTCCTCAGAGACCACCGCCAGAGCAGGGTGCGATGCGTCCTCAGAGACCACCGCCAGAGCAGGGTGCGATGCGTCCACCGGGACCACCGCCGGAGCAGGATGCGATGCGTCCACCGGGACCACCGCCGGAGCAGGATGCGATGCGTCCACCGGGACCACCGCCGGAGCAGGATGCGACACGTTGGAGGGTTCTGGGGAAGGTGACCACCTCTCACAGCAGGTCAGACCCTCCATGGCGACATCCTTCAGTGCAGACCCATATACCCTCCGGACATAAAGGTAGTAATTACCAAGTGCTGGGACCGCTATCAACTCTGGATGGGTGGAGAAGATGACATTTAACCTATCAGCCGCCCGCAGACGTAAGTGGGGGCAGGTTGGCTTGGCAAAGACCTCCCACACAGCCTCCTCGACCATCTGCATCATCCCCTGAACAATCTCCTCCGTCGGGACCGGTCCAGAAGCAGAACATGAGGTGCCGTCCGTGGAACCCGCCGACACCAGCACGGGAGAAGGATTAACCCTCTTATCAGCTCCAGAAAACCTCCGGGACCGCCGCCGTCGTGACCTGACAGGAGGGGTTTGAGGCTGGAGCGGCGTGGTCATGAACCCGCTGCACAAGACGTTTGCAGCAGGCCTGGACAGAGGAGTGGAGCCTCTGCGTGGCTCTGGCCTGATGGCCAGCCGCGTTCCCCAGAATGGTGACTCCTGCTCCTTCTCTAGCTCCATAAACTCCAGGAGCGTGAGATCCTCCATGACAGGTACGATGAAAAAAAAGAAGAAAAAAAATACTCCAAGTGCTGTCTCAGCGTTGGGTCAGATTTTTGGCCAGATTATTCTGTCATGCACCGAGTTCTGAAGACCCGTGAAGACGCCAACACAGTAAAAATATATTAAAAAGTCTTTATTTAATGCAGAGGTACCTGGAGGGCAAGGCTGAGGCAGGTTCAGAGGCAGGCTAAGGTCAAAGTGGCAGGCGGAGAGCAAGGCAGGGGTCAGGCAAAAAACAAGGTCCAGAGGCAAAGATCAGGCAGGGTGGATGGCTGGAGAACTACTGGCAAGGCTGTAATAATCTGGCATCTGTTGACTGGATGGCTGGTTCTTTTATAGCAGGGGAAGCAGGTGAATGGGATGAGGCTGATTACAGGAGCAGGTGGAATGAATGGAGCTGATTGAAGCTGACAGGTTGCTGGGGAAAGCAGGGCTTGGCTGGAGCTTGGTGAGAGGAACCAGGTGAGCTGAATGAAGGTATAATGAGGAAGTGGAGGAGGGTGAAGGATGGGAGTCATGACAATTTGTGTCTTCTTCAATGATGTATGGAGGACTGCCCCATTGACTGGCATTCATTGCAGTGAGTATGTCACGTTGTTCTGACTGGTCCTAGAGCTGTACAATAGCTTGCAGAGACTGAAAGACAATTATACCCTGTGTCTCAACTCAGGGTCTGCATCCTTCGTCGGCCAGATTCGTCGGCTGGTTACGTCACAGCGCCACGACTAGGCCTGTCCCAATTTGAAGACTCGTTCAAATGCGGTCGACGAATCTGGCCTTCTTTTCGCCTGAATGAAGGATGGGTCCGGTGTATCCTTCAATGGTTCACATTTCCCAAGATGCCTTGCGGGCCGGATGGCAGAAATTTTAAAGACAATGGCGGACAGTGAAGCGGGAGCTGTCGGAGAGGATTGCGCATATAAATGTCAGTATAAACTTGAAAACTGTTAGGTTAAGGACTTTTTGTGATACATGAACGTTATTTTAGTTAGAAATGTTACAGTAAAAGTGCTTGTATTGCGGTCTCGGCTCGTATGTTCGGCCGCTCGGTGTCGTACTTCTCCCGCTACGTTTTCCCCCTGATTTTAATAGGAGTTTGTATTTTAGAGGCAAGAGAAAACCAGGGAATGTATTAAGCTTAGGGCAGAGAAGGACCACATGATCACTGGAGCAAAGTATTCAGCGGCTGTGGCATGGAGGTACAATAACATCTCATATTTTAAGTTTAGTTTTTTCTATGAAAACATGAAAGGAAAAACCCGTTGTCCTCTTTTCTCTTCCTGTTTCTTTTCTTACATGTTTGTTAAGACTATTCTGGAGAAAATGGGCATCCAGGGGAAGGTGCCAGCGATGACCAGCTTCTGGAGCTGATCAGGGAGGACTTGAGGCTGCAGAGGGAGGCAGAGGGCACAGGAGAGAAGGGAGAATTTTGACAGGCTTTTTACTTTGCTAGAAAAAATGGCTAAGAAAGATTAAACATGTACATATAAAAGAAATATCTAAATAAAATCAGCTCTGTATTAAACTCTTGAATTTTATTTTTGTTTACAAATGAGAATTGTTTACTAGAGGGTATCCGCTGGGTCTTGAAAAGTCTTAAAAGGTGATAAATCGGTTTTGGTCAAATTAAGAACCTTAGAAAGTATTAAAAACTATTATCACATCTTTGCTCAGGCTCAGCTTGTCGAAAGTATTTTCTCTGAATTAGCTCTCCAACAGTCAAGGAAATGATTAAAATAAAACTTCGAGCTCCATCGTTTAAAGTTCCTTCTCCCTTCTGCTCAGCGGTTCCACGGTTGCTAGGCGACGGAACGTTTGCCGAGGGAGTGGCGGGAATTCATGAAGGCTAGGCCTGTCCAAATTCACAGCCGTTAACATCCGGTCTACTCGGCTGACGGAGGACCCAGCCCACGTCGGCCGAGTAGACTGGGTCCTTTGAAGGATGCAGACCCTGAACTGAGACACAGCGAATGAGTATTCTTGGAATTCGGAGACTACTTGTCGCTGCGCTGTGACGTCATCAACCTCAAAATGCACTCTTACAAGCATCCTTCCCATGGATTCGGACACACTCATAGATTCTGCCCCACAACCACGTTCTGTCCATGGACCATGGCCAGACCACATACTTACATGTATAGGATGGATTGCCAGGCTAACAAAATCCAGTTGAACATTTTCATAGACATGGCCTTAACAAGTATGAAAACAAGCTAACGCCCTTTTAAAATTTTTTGGTCAGTTACTCAAACTAAAACATAAATGCTATTAATCATCTGAAGTTAAAATGTCACTGGTCCTCTTTGAAAGGATTACTTGTATCTACTTTGTGCATTAACCCAAGTTTTATGTCTCAATGTAAGAACCAGGAATATTAAAATTGATCAAAATATTTTATCTATGTGGCAAACCAGCCCAACAAATTAAGATGGACTCTGTTAGGACTAGCAGTTACTCCATACCTGAGGTGAATTGAATAGGCCTTTTAATTCCTTGATCACGTATTCGACTCCTTTCTCCGTCAGCTGGACTTGTGAGTTGATTCCTCCAACAGAGATCCCTCCATACCTGAAGTCACAGGTCAAAACAGCAAACACAAAGTCACGTTGAGCTGGGGGTTAGGTAACACGATTAATGCTAAGGACACGCACTATGCTGTGGAGAAAAAACATTGGACTTCTGTTGAACTGAAGCATTGGTGGCCTTGTCTTTACCTTTATAATAAAAACCCCTTTCAACCCTGCCCCCCAAAAAACTAAAGTGAAAATTCAAACTAAACAACAGTAGGTGCTATGCTTTTTGAAAGTTTCTGATCCTTTGCTCAACTTGTGTGTGTCCTCTTGTTAAAAGAGCCTTTGAGGGAGAGCATCTTTGTAGAAGCTCTGACTATTTATACATGAAATGTCAAAAACTTGATTTATTCAAGAGACCTGGTCTTACAGTTTTGATTTTATAAATGGAAACATTGTTTTATAAAAGGCCTATAGTTGATATTCTTTTTTCCGTGTTGAATCTTTTCAGGATTGACCCAAGGGCTGTACAAACACTCAAAACCACAGCTAACTCAAAAAGCTTTTATTCACTCCATAACATGCACCAGTTTTTCAATCATTTTCATTTGGTCAGCATAGCCTGAAGCTTCAGCTTCCATACGACTGTTTAATCCAGGGTCATGAAAGTCGATCTTCAACCAACCGTTGAACATAACATTCAAAAGGATTGGTTTGACTTTAGTCGGGGTTGCTGAGGGGGCAACGTTCTCCAGTCCACATGTGTTTTGTAAGTCTGAAGAAGGAGGAGGTGCTTAATTATCTGGGTGTCTTTATTTGTAAGGGATGGTGAAGAGGTGGACTAAGGAATTTGGGCATCATCTGGTGCAGTAATGAAGCTGTCGAGTGTCACTGGAGACACTAGGGCAGGCCTGTGTTGGAGGGATTTTTGTATTTCTTATCTGGTTTAGGAATCAGTTGGAATCCCCCATCATCACCATGCTTGAGAGTTGGATGCCTGATTTTACTACAGAGTCTTGTACACAATCTGAACTTGCATCACAACACAGATGCAAGGACATAAATCAAACACATTTCTTTGAAATCACAAACTAACATCAGACTAATGCCTACTGCACACTGGAAGCAAAAGCAGCGCGGGACAGTTTTCTCATGATAACCATTGCACTGAGGTGCACACTGGGAAAGTCTTAGCAGCGAAGCGGCTTCTCTGCAATGCTCCTCGCTCGACTCGCGAGATCAGATCTCTGATACCTTGAGACTTCAAAGATTATGGTTTGTTTATGCAATCCGCCATTAAACCAAAAATAAGTAAATCCCATTTGATATCACTGTTTTATGTCATATATGATGTAGTTCCTCTCCACTGCCAGGATTAAAGATGCCTGTATTTGTATTGCGCCATCTTAGGGTTCTTAACCCTCCCAAGGCGCTTCACAACACACAACACAGTCATTCACCCATTCACACGTCTTGTGGGAATGAGCTACATCAGAGCACTGGCGCCATCGGTCCCTCTGAACACTACCGGCAGGCAAGGTGGGTTAAGTGTCTTGCCCAAGGACACAACAGCAGAATTCTTGGGTCTGAGCCGGGATCGAACCTGCAAACTTCCGATTACTGGGCAACCCGCCCTACCTCCTGAGCTGCCATGAAAAACACACCGCTGCACTTCTGGAATGATGCTGTGAGTTAACAAGCCATTGGGTCACACGTAAGTTTGATACATATGAAACTGCATCACTGCAAATACTTTAATTTTGAAAATGACCAGGGATTTTACACTGAAACTGTGTGTGATTTCCTGTCTAGCCTTATGTTGATTGCAATAAGCGGCGTGCCGCTTCTGAAAATTGCTGCGTCGCGGCTGGTTTGTTACACTCCATAGACTATAATGGATTCTATTTGAAGCGGTGCCATTTCGCTTCCAGTGTGCAGTAGAGGTTATGCTGATAAATGTTCATCAAAAAGTAGCAATGTTGGATTTTTCATATCATGACTGTAAAATATTTACTAATGAAACATCGAAGATTTTGTCCTTCCATTAACTCATTTACTGCCATTGATGAAGTCAATAGCATTTTAAAATGGGACAGGCCTGGGAACGAGCCCCTGCACATGAGAGTAAACAACACATCTGTAAAGCTGATCTTCACCATGTGCATCACATGTCACGTGATCAGGAAGCAGAAAATCCATGAATTAGGAGATCATTTTGGTACGCTGCTGTGAAAAAAGAAAGGCACTAACTGGAAAAGCTTTTGGTAGTTTTGGTGTTCGCATGGTCATAGAGGACATAGTTCTATGACTCTTCAAACAACAGTAAAAACGCTCAAAAACGATGGCAGTCAGGGGCTTTCTGATCAGAAAACTTTACTTTCAGGTGATTTTTTTAAATTAACTGATTAAAAGGAAAATGGTGATCAAAGCTCCTGAATGAACCAAACTAAACCTGACTAACCTACAGTATCATAAATCCTAAAAGAATTGCTTAGACAATACAAAAGATTTTGTATAGTGGGTTACCTTTGTTTGCCAAAGTGCTCAAAAGTCTTGACCAAGAAGTCGGTCACGTTTCGACCAGTCAGATTCAGCAAAGTGTCTGTTGTATTTTGCACCCTCTGTAAAGAAGACAAAAACAAAACAAATCATCATTGTTTAGAAATAAACATTTTACAGTTTCTTTATTTCAGTGTTTTTTTTCCTTGCTTCATAAAAACAAATGTTTTTCTATTTTTCATACAATTTCATTTTAAACAAATTCTCATTTGAAATTTTAGAAATTTTCTTAGTTTTTAACACCACTAATTCATCTGATAAGGATTATTTTTAAAACTCAATGGTGAAGTTGCATTAAAGTATGCATTGCACTGGAATTCAGCTGTTAAACAACTGGAGGTACAATGTACCAAGAACATGCTCAAATTTTCAGTAAGATTTAAACTGACATAAACCACTTACGAGGTCAAGTGGGACTTATAGTGGAATTGCAAAGAAATCAAATCCTAGCCACACTCAAAGGGAGCCTCAGCACTTCACCCATTGGCCAGATTAAAATAATTATGTCTACTACAGCATTTTATCAGTTTGATGGGCCAATCACAGCACTCACAGCACAGAACAAGTAAGATGGCATTGGCTTGTTTGAAACTGCTTTGGCATCCACTTTGGCCCATTCAGGCTTTTCTTTGAGTCAAGATTAGATAGAGGTACTTGAGTCCTTAATTTACAAAAAGGATGTATTTGCATCTTTTTCTACAGTGTAAGGCGGACTACCCCATTGACTGACATCCATAAAGGTGAGTATGTCATGTTGTTTGTTGTCCAATAGCATATGGAGACAGTTTGAAAGACAACTGTAGATTCTGCCCCACAAATGAGATCTGTCTAATGGTCATGGCCAGACTGATTGATATATATATATATGATGGCTTGTCAGGCCATTTTTTCCTTCTAAAATCTGAAATTTCAGATATCAAATTTCTTTTTTGCTCTCCAGTCATCCACAACTTAGATGGATTGGTCACCAACATCCTATCAAAGCTGTCCCACAGGTATTTAACTTTATGATTTATTGAAATTAAATTGTAAAGTGTTCCAGATGACCACAGCCAGTCATATCTAACTATACTAAATATGTCTTAAGAAGTGCTCAAACGTTTTACTTTTAATTTGATCAATTTGAGACTTTCTGGAAATAATCTCACACTCATGCCTAGAGACAGAATGAGTATGAGTAAGAAATAATAGTGAATTTGTAATCTGACCCAAACAGCCTAATGGGTGAAAGACCATCATTTCTGTCAGGCCTCTGAAGTCGAACTACATCTTAAACTTTCAGGTGTGAATATTTATAGTGCAGAGCACTTGTAACAAAAATCACACACTAAAATGTTTTTATCTTCATCTATCAAGGAACACAAACAACGTCCGGCTGTAGTGAAAGATCTTGTGTAGAAAGGGTAATCCAAAACAAGTCATCGATTTAGACAACTGTTTAACTACACTTACATCTTTTTTAGCCAACGCAAAACCAACAACAGTTAGGAGCAGAAAGATTTCACAGGTGGCATCTGTTTACACCGCTGTGAAACATCCTCACACCTCTCATCCTAATGGTCAATTAAGCTCGACTAGGGGAAGCCTGGCTGAAAGCTAGACCCCTGCTAAAATTCACTAAGCTGTGTCTAATGTCAAAGGACCCTAATTAGATGCCCCTTTGTGGATGAATGGGTACATTCAAACATCCAATTAAGGAAGGGCGCGACACACTGCTGCAAATACACTGAACCTTGTGTAGAATGATGTGGAGCCCGCACAAACACACACTACAGCCCAGGAATGCATATAGGCAGCTCAATTAGAGACAAAACGCTAATTACAAAGCAGCGCTGTCCTTTATAAAAGCGGGGCTCAGACCCCCAACAGTGATGTAATTTACCAATGTACCCCCTGGTTCCAAATGGTATACATAGTATGTTGTTTAATCGGCTACCACTGTGACAATTAGCTTGGTATGTAAAGTAATTTTTCATTTTAATATAAAAACGTAATGTGAATGTGAATTCCTGCGCAGACGTTGTACTCAAAGTGGGATACAAGAAACGAGAAGGAGTGGGAGGAGAATTTCCCAAGGAATAGAAACTTAAAATATGGGAAAAAAAAAAAGAATGGAAATCAGACAAAAACAGGAGGCAAAAGCAAAGGAAGAGGAATAAGAGGAGGCCCCATCTGGCTTATGAATCAGAGATAAGGAAGGATGAACGGCGTGACAACCTTGGCTTATCTCTGAACAAACATGCCTCTCTTTCTAAAAGCCACAGGAACTGAGACACAAACAAAACCACAAAAATAAGAGCTTTTACTTTCCACAGTGTGTACAATGAGTTTATACCCAGACATGCAGTCAGTGTGAGTCTAATTGTTTTGGCCTTGGTCCATGTGCCCCCTCCCTATCAAAACACCTGAAATGAGAACATTATGTGATGGTAATACCTGGGCATGTTCATTACCTGAAAATGACATTGGTGTGCTTGGCATTGGGTGGAAAACATCCGTTTTACAGCTTGATAGCAAAGGAAGCCAGGCAAATGTAAACCGAGCAGTAATCAAATCTGCTGAATGAGCTGGCACGCTCCAGCACCACAGAGATGAGTGCTCATATTAATCCTGGCACAAGTTATCTCACACTGCACCACTAAGGTAACATTCAACTTGAATCTGTGTTTGCGGAGGAAAACATAAGTGGAATCTTCTTTGATTAAAAATTTGGTGTTGTTTGTTTTAGGGGGTATTTTTGTGTGGAGTTATTTGAAATGCCTCAACCCATTAAGTCATAATGTGTTGGTGAAAGGGGCAGGGATTTGCTATTTTCACGTGTGCTTAGTGTGACACATCTCCTCAAGTTTTTGCACATGTGAACAAAGGAACACATTAGATCCCTTTGGAATATTTTTCTTCATCAAAAATGTCATGTTATGAATGGCTGCAATCAGGGATGAAATTTGCCCACAGTTATTGAGCAAAATGCAAGAACAAGCCCAGGAAGTAAAATCCAGTGACAAATTTACCATGTCAAATAAATAAATAAATAAAACATATCACAACATATTATTGCAAATCACAAGCATCTCTCATGTAGCTGTGTTCTGCATTGTAATCTCACTGTGGGACATTTCAGGTTCATCATCGTTTCACTGTACAGAGTGAGAAGAAATATAATATGATACCTGTTTTGTAGAATATGTGTAGCTAAACACACTAAAGTGCATCAGAAGAACTTCAGGATCAAACAGCATTAAAATGTTGGACATATAATTTCTCACTAATACTCTTGCTGCTTTGCTTATCCAGTTTAGCAAGCATTCACCACACAGGCAGATCTATTTTATCCCCGCACAAGTGGTAAGCTAAACGCTGACCTCAACGGTTTGATAGATGAGTCCATGCAGAGTAATTTGCAAGCAAACTACACTCAGAGTTTCCATATGATAAAGACTTCATCTGCAATGTTGGGAATACGTCAGCTTTATCAATTCCTCTGCATGCATGACGGCCTTATTCGTCTATGAAGGTTAAATATCACCAATGAACGACAGTCAATACCTCACAGCTGATAGTGGGATTACTGCTGCCTGCCATTACCATGGAAACAATGATTTCACATCACCTCCTGCTGTGCCGTATCCAGTTTTTTCTTTTTCCTCTCTCTCTCTTCTGTTTTCTGTAGTTTCTCAAGGGCATATCCCAAGGATTGGCAGGCAAAAAAAAAGAAAGATAAAAAGGAAAGAAAAACTTGTGTGAAGCTGGGGCTCTTTGTCAAGCTTTATTCAACAGGGAGGAGGCTTTCAGGTCAAAGGGAATACATCGTAGCGGTATGCTCTACATCCATAGGTGGTCTCCAGTACAGACCTGAGTTCAGTTAGAGAATCTACGATAGACCACGGCACACCTGCTTGTCTAAAAGTGATGACTTATTCACTCATTTGTCACATTCATCAACTGTTTGCAGGAATCAAACTGGTGCTGCATCCTTTCATTACCAGGCTTCCACATGGGTTTCTGTTTCATCACAAAGTCTCAGCATCTGAAATCATTATCACACCAACATGAATCTTTTAGCATTTCAGATGATGAAATAAAAACCTGGAGGGCTTGTTGGCGGTCTGCGTTACAAAATCTGACCCTTGCTAAATAAATGAAGGTGCATTTCAGGAAAAGGAGGAAGAACAGTGACGTTTGAGTTCCTTCAGCCACAGCGGGGGGTGAAAAGAGTTCATCTTCGCTTCCAGACAACCTTGAAGATGGCAAGTCATTAAAGCCAATGCAAAGAATTAAAGAATCAATTTAATATCAGTTTACAGGATCTAAAAGAGACCAGATAAGATGCAATGAATTCATAAGAAAAGAAAAAAAAATGTACCAAGACGTAAAAATTAGACACCAGAAAATATCTTTTTACTGAGGCTAAGAGCTCTTAAACTACCAGCTGTCAAATAAATTAGCAGACAGCGGAAGGGAAATTAACTAAATATAAAAAAGATGGTTTGAAAGAAAGACGTTGATGGCCCCAGCAGGGTACAAGGTAGAAACAGTGCTCTCATAAACCCGGACTGAACATCAATGACTGGAAAAGGTTACATAAAAGGGCACTTCTCATGTCTGAATGTCTCAGCGCTCATCTTTTAACATGATTCCTGGACAGCTTCTTTTTTTAAATGACTCTGGATGGCCTTGTCATGGAAAGGAGCACACAGCGGGACACACAAGTTCAACAAACCCATGCAGTGTGAGCAGGGCTGTGCAGAGAACTTTGAAGGGGTGGGTGCTCAAAGTTTAAAAAAAAAAAAGGGGGGGGGGGGCACATATAGAGCAAAACTTTTAAACAGATTCACGATCCAACAAGTTTCAAAATTCAGATAATGAGACCCTTGGGTTCAAACAACATAATAAACTAGGAAAAATATATCATTTAGTGTCAGTAATTGAAGTTAATGTTAGTTCATAAATTATTGTTTTAGTTTTTAAAGTTGACTTATATCTAGAGACGTTATGACCACATTTCTGCCCCTGATCTGAGTCCAAGTTGTTTGACTATTGATTATCTTCCAAGACAGAGTCC